GTGTTCATTTCGCAGGTACCTCAGGATCATCAAGTTGTCAAGCTACTGATCTGTTTTGCTCTCCCAGTTCGTTTTCTACACTACCCCAGGTGATCTAAGTAATTAGCATCATCATTTTGGCGCCGTCTGTGGGAACGATGCAAACCAGATCACGTAGCCAACAAGATCCTCCTAAGGCGTCTGCTCGGAGAGAAAATGACACAGCTAACGACCTCCCACCTCGTGGAGGCTCTGGCTTGCCACCTCCTCCACATCCCATGGATCCACCTCGCGAGGTTCAGGTGATCCCCCTCGGGACCCACCACTCGCCGATCCACCACTCCCTGCTCCTCGAATGGTTCAAATAACCGAGGATGCGCTTCAACGCATGATAGCATAAGCTTCAACTCGCGCTGCCACAGAGGCCGTGACTCAATATATCGCCACGATGGGAGCAAATGCTCCCAACGCGATACCAGCACCTGCTCCACATGTGGAGCTACCTATGGCACCACCGCCATCGACTCCCTGGGGGCTTACATAGCCACCCATGCCACCACCGCCATCGACTCCCTGGGGGCTTACATCGCCCCCAAAATATTTCGTTCGCCAAGGGTTATCGACTCCCCGGGGGCTTACATCGCCCCCAAAATATTTCGTTCGCCAAGGGTTATCGACTCCCTGGGGGCTTACATCTGCTCCCAAAATATTTCGTTCGCCAAGGGTTATCGACTCCCTGGGGGTTCACATTGCCCCCAAAACATTTCATTCGTCATAGCAGGAGCCAACGCTCCTCCTCGTGAGGCCCCACTGGATCCCCAACATGATCAATTTCTACTTACTTCTCGAACGGTTCAGATAACCGAAGAAGACCTTCAGCGTATGATCACGGAAGATTCAACTCGTGCTGCCACTTAATCAGTGGCACCATATATCGCCAAGGTGGGGCATCTCACCCCAGTGGTTCGTGATCGCCTCATCCTAAATGGGGGGCTATCCCATCCTAAAGTTGGGCATCTCATCTCAAGGGTGGTACATCCACTGACCTTTCATCCCCAAGGGGGTGCACATGCCATCTCAAGGAACGAGGATAATCTTCCCACTAAAAAAATAGAACATCCCCAAGGGGGTGCACATCCCATCTCAAGGAACGAGGATAATCTCCCTACTCAAAAAATAGAACATCCCCAAGGGGGCGCACATCCCATCTCAAGGAACGAGGATAATCTCCCTACTTAAAAAATAGAACATCCCCAAGAGGGGTGCACATCCCATCTCAAGGAACGAGGGTAATATCCCTATTCAAAAAATAAAACATCCCCAAGGGGGTGAATATCAACCAAATAAAAAAGAGAAGAAGAAAGAAGAAGAAAAAAAAAACAAGAAAAAGAAGAAGAAAAAAGAAGATGAAGAAAAAAAAAAAAAACAAGAAAAAGAAGTAGAAGAGAAAAAAAGAAGAAGAAAAAAAGAAAGAAAAGAAGAAGAAAAAAAGAAAGAAAAGAAGAAGAAGAAAAAAGAAGAAAAAAAGAAGAAAAGAGAAAAAAACAAAAACAAAAAAACACAAGGAAGCGCGCGCACATCAGCACCGCGCGGTTGGCCCAGAATCCTCGGTCCGCGCGCGCGCGGAAAAAAAAAAAAAAAAAAAAAAATCGCCAGAAAGCGCGTGGCGCGCACGCGCGACGCGCGCGTGCATGTCACGCGCCCCAGCTGTACTGCGCATCTGCCTCTGCGCGCGTGCATCGCACGCGCCCGTTGTCTCTCACCGCGCGTGCGTTGCACGCGCCCGCACTCTCTCTCTCCCTCGCGCGTGCCTTGCACGCGCCAACGCCCTGTCTCCTCCGCGCGTGCACTGCACGCGCCCGCGCTCTCTCTCCTCCGCGCGTGCAGTGCACGCGCCCGCGTGACACCTACCGCGCGCCCCCCCCTACCCCAGCCTCAAAGCGCGCGCTCCCCCCTTACCCCAGCCTCAAAGCGCGCGCTCCCCACCAACCAGCATCAAAGCGCGCGCCCACCTCCCGCTACTCACTTACTTGCGCGCAATTTGCACTATGCACCACCAAATCGCATGCCGTTTTCACCTCGCTTTACCAAATCGCGCGAGAATTTCAACGCGCTCCACCAGATTGCGCGAGCTCTTTAACGCACCTACCAAATTACGTTAAAAAAAAAAAAAAAAATTATCCACACCATGCTAGCGATTAACGCAAGACTACAACACCGATCTACTCTCAATACGATCCGGTACCCCTTTCTACTTGGCTCCCACATCGTCTCGAGAGTGGGGGGCTTGCGAGACAACTCCCACGAGGAGCCAACTCGCTCAATACTACCACCCGCAGCGAGACAACTCCCACGAGGAGACCACTCGCTCCATCCTACAACCCGCAGCGAGACAACTCCCACGAGGAGCCAACTCCCTCGGGTCTACGAAACCATAGCGAGATAATTCCCACGAGGAGACCACTCGCTCCGTCCTCTAACCCGTTGCGAGATAACTCCCACGAGGAGACAGCTCGCTCTATCCTACAACACATAGCGAGACAACTCCCACGAGGAGACCACTCGCTCCATCCTACAACCCGCAGCGAGACAACTCCCACGAGGAGCCAACTCCCTCGGGTCTACGAAACCATAGCGAGATAACTCCCACGAGGAGACCACTCGCTCCGTCCTCTAACCCGTTGCGAGATAACTCCCACGAGGAGCCAACTTGCGCAGTAATACAACCCACCGCGAGACAACTCCCACGAGGAGCAAAACTCGCTCGGTCCTACAACCCCTTACAAGGAAACTCCCACGAGGAGCCAACCCCCTCGGGTCTCAAAACCACAACGAGATAACTCCTACGAGGAGACCACTCGCTCCATCCTATGACCCGCAGCGAGATTACTCCCACGAGGAGCCAAGTCGCTCGGTACTACAACCTACAGCAAGATAACTCCCACGAGGAGACAACTCGATCGGTACCCCAACCCGCAGCGGGACAACTCCCACGAGGAGCCAACTCGCTCGATACTACAAATCCGTTGCAAGGCAACTCCCACGTGCAACCACCTCGCTCGATAATAAGACTCGCTGCGAAACAACTCCCACGAGGAGACAACTCGCTCAGAGCAACCTCAATCCAAACGCGCCTAAATCGCGCATCATCCAATGCTCCTACAACTTCGCTCAAGACAACTCTCTCGAAGAGCCAACTCGCTCGATACTACAACCCGCAGCGAGACAACTCCCATGAGGAGACAACTCGCCCGAAATTCACCATATAATCGCAAGCTCAAGTTAGCACGATTACAACCCTAGAAGCACTTAGAGATATTATGAGAATCTATATAGCCTGGCCAGCTTGATTACTCAAATTTATCTACTTGTTTTCGATGGGTCATTCATTAAAACGTGGCCACGGTCCAAACATACTTAAGACCCACGAGGTCTAACAAGGGGCACGACCCCCATATAAAAAAAAAAAAAATCTTGAGAGTCTGATCCCCTCCTCAAGTACATCATGCACAAGGCTATATGTAAACACATATAAGCAACGCGTCAAAACATTGACAATGTCGAAAAATAACAACTCCCACGAGGAGAATACTAGCTCCGTGCTACTACATTATCGTGAGACAACTTCCACGATGACATAACTCGATCAACTCTATTACCCCAGAGACAACTCCCACGAGGAGATTACTTGATCCGTGCTACTACATTATCGCGAGACAACTCCCACGAGGAGATAACTCGATCAACACTATTACCTCGCGACGAGACAACTCCCACGAGGAGATAATTCGCTACTACATCGTCGCGGGACAAAACCGACGACTCAAAATTAACTTACATCGCGACAACTTGGTCGCGCTACGCGCCAACGCGCATTTACGCCCCTCCGACACACGCTCCAACGCGTTATCACACACCATTGACTACTACAATATTTACTCTCGACACGATATGTCGCCCATTTCAACATGACCCCCACATCGACTCGAGAGTGGGGGGCTTAATGATATGCCTAATTGCCCCAACCCAATGGGCCTACAAATTATTTACCTACTGGGCCACGAGCCCAATATCGAAGACCATTATCACCAAGGCCCAATCACCTTCAAGTAAGGTTTGTGCCCGACAATCTCAACTAAGCTATAAATAAAGGTTTGAATTCATTCCTTAAGGTACGTCCTATTATTGAGTAATACTACAAAATGTATATTCTCTGGACTATTTCTATGATCAGCACGTCTGACTTGAGCGTCGGAGGGGTTTCCGCCGGATCAACCCCCGGCGTAGTTCACGTGTGTTCATTTCGCAGGTACCTCAGGATCATCAAGTTGTCAAGCTACTGATCTGCTTTGCTCTCCCAGTTCGTTTTCTACACTACCCTAGGTGAGCTACATTTTAGCATCATCACTTTTATATACGAAATATATATAGCGTTGGTTTTGCTTGTTGCTGACAATGTTGTAGTTATTTATTTTATTTTAAATTTTGTCTTACGACCTTTGAATTAGTTACTCTTTATAATGGATTTTATGATTAAAATTTATATCAATTTTCATTTACTCTCTACATTTTATTGGGACTAAATAAATAATATAGGTAAAATGAAGGGGTTGATGTGAATTGCCACGTGCCTCGACGGGAATTTTCCGTCCAAACTAACAACAGTTTTAAACGGTGGACGAAAGTTGTAAAAAAAATTAGTTATTTGAGGACAAATTTCGTGTCACAAAAAATGTAAGGGCCAAAATAGAAAAGGGTATAATAGAGGGACCAAAATTGTAATTATTCCACAATGTTAAATTAAATTGATCATGTGAAATTGAATAAATTGGCGCGAATACTAAAAAAAAAAAGACCCAGAAAAACTCTAACCCAAACAAAGCCTAACACACCGAAAAGGGGGAAAAACTCAGAAGAAAATTACCAAAATTCTCTTTCTTTTTTAATTATCTACAGTATATGGTTTTGATCAGTAGCGAAGAAATTGGGATAGAGAAAATAGATTGATTTGCACTTGGTGATTTCTCTTTCTACTGATGTTTCTCTTGCATAAATGTGATTGCTGTTTCGATTACAAGGGACAAATTTAATCGGAAAAAAAATTAACATTTGTCAAATGAAAAATTAGGGTTTATATTCTGAACACTCACACTCACACTCACTCTCTCACCACCCAAAAGAAAAAAAGATGGGTATTCTTCAGAAATGGAGAAAACTGTACTGCTTTCTACGGAATCAAAATTTGTAGAAATGCAAAAAAAATCTTATTCTGTTGTCTGCAACAGAAAATGGAAGTCTGATCTTTGACGAAGGAGGGGCGGTGGATCCACATCGGATAGATTGATATCTTGGAAAGATTGTGATATCTCATCCATGGAGAAAGGTATGCTGCAATTTTGAAAATATTATTTAGTAATTATACTTGCTCTGTTTTTCAAGTTCCGTAATTATTAAGTTCCGCTACCTTGAATCCACGTCGAGTAAGAACGTATTGTTTGGTGTACTAATTGAATCTTCTACTGTCATCACCTTCATCTTTGCAATCACCTGTGTGCAGATAGTTCAAATCCACCGTTTATGAAACACGTAAACCTTTCAATGTGGAGATAATGATTGATCCTAATATATGATGCCGATAGATGATTTTCTTGGGGTTACGAGATCAATGATATGGAATTATACTGGCAAAGTCTGCGTATATAGATCTGGCTAAACCTGTTTTTCGATTATTTCGGTATAATAAATCTATGCAAACATAATTTCCCGAAGGAGAGCTGAATGATGCTGATATGAACAAAATGATAGCCATTACCTCTGAAGATAATCCTTGGGTTCCATATTTGTCATCCCAAAACATGGTTCCAATTCTATATATTTGTGCGATGCTCAATACCTGATCAAAGGCAATGAAAATGGTAAAAAGAAAAGAAAACTTGATATGGTGAAGTTGTATATATGTTTTCACTGTTTTAATTGAGAGATGAAATGATGAATAAAGCATAATCTTATTGTTTACCGGGCAGAGTTCGTTCGTGATCTCATCCAATGACTTGTGAGTTTTCTGATGCAAGACCTGAGAAAGTTAAAGCATGGTTTAATCATTTATGAATTATTTGAATTTAATGGCAAACTGAATAAGATCTATTAAATCGTACCAGAAAAGCTACAGCTTGTCTTATGTGTTGGAGCTCGCCCCATGAGGATCCAGCACACTACATCATGACGGGAAAGAGGTGAGATTTCATCTGTTTTCAATTAGTTGAACTTCTTGACATTATTCTGCTAGTATTTGTTTTTTCATAGACATGCTTACCTCATTTGTTACTCTCGCACACCAATGTTCTAATTCTTGTAAACCAGCTTTTACATATTCACCATTGCTAAATGAGCAGCATTCACGGCGGAGTAGTAAGCTACAAACGGCAAAATGATAGTTGTGACATTATTTATCAGATTGCAAACTTTAAGTTCTGAAATTCTTTACTGTAGTAAGAATGGAGTAGGGATAATTCCTTACCTATTGAAGAGCTGAGCATTTATGAACGAGAATACCTGGCTGAAAATTTTCCTGGTGATTGTAGAAGGAACCTAAAAACCAGATCCATTTAAAGAAAAATAATTTTCATTAATATTCATTAGCTCAAGCAGAGAAGATGAAATATAAGAGCTCTGCTTACATAATTTGCTGACAATATCCCCATGGTATCATCCAAACTGCGGACGATATTCTGCCAGTGTATGCTAGAGCCCTGTTGTTTTGATATGATATGTAAATGGATGTTCTTAGACGACCCTTTTATTGGTCTGATCCTTGCAGCTCTTGGTGCCTGTTTGCGGCATTTTAAGATATAAATACCGAATCTTATGATTTATTGGTTGGTAATCCCATGGAGTGGATTGCTTACTTGGATACACAAATTGAGAAATGGACTGATCTCTTTCTTTAAGCCATCACGAATCATCCCATATATTTTCTCAACACAGGCGGTCAAGTGTTGCTTAAACAATAACGCCGGGTATTTAGCTTCGATTCTTGATTTTAAAATCGGATTACCCTCCATCCCGCTGTATCCACTAGATAGTCCGGTGGTCATAGAAGATGATCGCACCTGACAGAATGACGATATATATTTAATATATGTTTACAGTTTATTTGGTAATTGATTTGCATCCAATGTTTTTACCTGTGCCATTCTAGCAAACAGTGTGATTGGTGAACTCCGGTTACGTTTTGAAGACAATGTCGACGTATTGCTTGCTTTGATTGTTCTTTGTATAAGAAACAAAAGAGTTGAAGTTGTTGACAGCCAGTGGGCGAGATTATTGCTGTTCTCCTGGTTCTGTACACAAGAATAGCCTTAGAACCTTGTTTACGCTTACACTTTTCAATAACGATTTAAACAATATATTGTAATCCATAAGTTAGTTCTACTACCTCTATTGATGATTGGATTGCATGAATAATCCTATCAAAAATATTTGTTTTATCTGCTTCGAAGGATCTCCACTGAACGAGTGCTTTGTACACAATACAGGCAGCAACAGGCCTGTTCTTGTCAAAACGATTGTCTTCAAGGAGACATTTGATTAGTGCATCGTGGTTTTCCTGATGCATGAGGTACAAAGATTCATAAGAATGCAATTATAAATTTCATGCCTGTAAAGCAGCACCTCTTTTTTTTTTTTTTTTTTTTTTTTTTTTTTTTTTTTTTTAATTACCGTTAATAAGAGATGGTTTTCAAATGATATACCTGCTGCTTCTCTGTCAAGGATCTCTGTTTAGTGAGGCGAATGGGAGTAGCCTCAGGATCCTGCAGACGAAACAACTTTCATATTAACTGATATCGCATTACACTAGTGTGGAAAACTTGTTTATTTATAAAATCTTTGCATAGAATCTTGGTTTACGTTAGTTACGTGCTGTTCTACATTTCTTATTGGATCCTGGTCTGTCGTTTGAAAGCCATTAATATGAGTCTGATATCCATTGTCCAAATCCTGTGATTACAGAAGCCATCAGTTAATTGGATATTACTGTAGCAATTAGTATAAACAAGTAAAACCTTATATACCTTTACAACTTGGTTATGAGAAGTTGATATTTGCTCCACAACCACTTCTCTACTGTGGAGAACCCTATTCTCAGACTCCAAATCTCTTATCTTTACTCTCAATCTGGAAAAAAAGCCTTTTCAGATTTCGATCATGGACTGCCTTCAAGAACTTATCTAAGTGAACAGATCTATATTTGACAACTTCAAGTTGTAGAAAGTTAGCCATGAAAACTTATATCTCTCGTTTTGGAGGAAAAATGTTATGACCTTCCCACTAATGGTAGCCCAGATTTTTATCAAGTGCCACAGGAACAAATATTTGAAATCTTAAGCTGAAAAGTTCGTTCTTTATATTCTTACACTTCCATTTCCTCAGTGAAGTCCTCTTTAGCTGATGCAGCCAAAGCCTGCTGGCGTAGAACCTGATTCTCCGATTCAAGAGTTGATAGGTTCACTTCTAGTCTGAAGAGATGTTAAGTGGAATACAGTCATAACATAGTTAACGACTATGATAACTGATAAGTTCAGATACGCAGATAGCGAGAATCACATACCTTTCAATGGTTTCCTGTAATTGTGAAGCTCTGATCTGTGATTCTTCTGCTTCTTTAAGCCTCTCATGTCTTTCTTTTTCCACCTCGGAGTAACTCTGCTCAAATTCCTCTACCCGCTTCTTTAGTTCATTAATGATTTCCTGCACATTTGCACTTGATATTAGGTTGCATGCTCTATGCGTGTGAAATGTGCTAGTTTCTAATGTTATCTGAAACGGGAATCGAACAGTGTGTTGGAATATATCTACATGTATTTCTGTCTCTCTCATCATTGTTTCTCCTTCTTCTAAAAATATTATTTAAAGATCATCATTTCATGATTTTATGCTATCATCATGTATCTATTTTCAGTTTTCTTTGTGTGTGTCACTCAGTCATCAGATATCCACTTCGTTTGAGTTTATTCATCAAATTCTCCTCTACCAGTCATTTGTGAATTATGCATCCTTCTAGATATATTGCGCTGTATTGCATGGCTCTTCGATTTTAGATTTGTTAATTTTATTCTTCCTACGTGATTATGGTCGAGGGATATAGATGATTTTTGGCTCTATATATAACATGTATGATGTATCAAATGCTCTTGCTTGTAATCATGATTACTCTAAACGAAAAGTACTGCCCTTACAAATGTAGTGTACCTCAAGTTCGTGGTTTTGAAGTGTCAATTGCTCCACCTTTATGTTATCAACAACAGGCACCTCTTTGATAACTGGCGGGGCTTGTTCGATTGCTATCTTGGCAGCTTCTCTTTCATGAACGATTGCGGCACGTGCTTCGATAAGCTGCGCTTCCATATCTTGTAAAGCATTCTGTAGTTTTGCTACTTCTTTCCCTTTTGCTTCTTCAATATCCACCTGCCAGATGATCATTGTTTTAGGACATGTATAAATTAAATCCTTTTTGTATACCACCACAAGTTTAACTACATTTTCAGATACTTCAACTAGCAAATGGAAGTTATCTTGTTTCTATCGACTACTGTGTTTTATGTGCTTTGCACTGACCAGCTAACATTTTTTGGACGAATAGTTGGCGATCTGTTTGCTAATATTTACTGACATTATGTCAAATTTTGACACTAAAAAATGATAAAAGTAGTCTTTTATCTACATCATCTTTTGAGTTTTTACTGTAATTGGAGAGTGTGTTTTAGTAATACTCGTAAGTGCTTCTCAATGTCTAATCTCCATGTTAACTCCTCGACACGCTTTTCCAGCTTGTCCTTTGCTTCCTTGAGTGCTCCTGTGTCCCTTGCTGCCTGCATTCATAGAATTTTAACATTAGCTATTAACCGCTGTGCACTTTTTAGCAGTTATAGAAAATGCGGGTGTGGTTTTATTAATAGGATATGCTGACCATCCTCAGTTTTCGGAGCTCCTTCCTTGCTAACCTCCCTCGCCATAGGCATTGGAGTGAAAGAGTGGACTTCTTCAGCCGATTAAATGCAGAAAGTGCATGGAAACTTCTACATCGTGTCTGAAAAAAACGAAGATATATAAGAAAATGAATATGGCACCAAGGTGAGCCTTGGTGAACATGACTTGCTTAAGGCACAACAGACTACAAAGTTAATCAATTGATTCATCTAAAAGATGCAGATTTGTGTAAGTTTCCTATCGTCCCTAATTTAACTCTTTCAAAGTTTATTACCTGAATGATGGTTGCTGCTTTGTTTTGTCTTCTACGTCTGAACTCATTTCGTGCTGCCATTGCTCGCAAACCAGTTTGAATAACTATTGCTGCTCCCTGTAATTTGGTATAAGATCTTCTCGATGCGTGAGCACGTGCATGTTTCTGTATTCGGATTGAAGCAGCTTCTCTCTTCATGATTTCATAAAGCATACGTGCAAGTCTTGCTGTATAAGCAACCAAAAAACAATAAAAACAATTAATCTAGTTTTTTTGAGAATTTCATGTGAGCTAGTGAGCATTTCCGTTTCAACATATGCCACTCGATTACCTCTCCAGAGTTTCTGGATATTAATGGAAGCCCTTCGTAGGATAATAAACTCCCTTCTGGTAAGGTGTGTTCGGATCTGCCTCTGAATACGTTTTGCTGCATGAGCCAGAACTTCAGCTCTTCTAGCGTCTAATTCAGCCATCTGCCCTGCTCTAAGAAACACCTTGCTTTTTCCAATCTGAAGCCCATATTTCAGTAAATGCTAAATAGCAAAGCATATGCATTTTTTACCTATTAGTCGATACATTAGTAATTATTAGATTAGGTACCTGATAGCCACGTAAGCCCATTTTGTCGCATATTTCAATGCATGCCGATTTTTCATCAAACCTGTAATGCAGAAATCAATAAACATGTGGTTAAGTAAGAGTATAACTATTCCCCTTGGTATTCTTAATTTGTAATGCCACGGGTATGCATGTTTGAAATACGCCAAAATTAGATGGAGATGGCGTTGCATACCCATCCACAACATCTGGTGCTAGCATTCCGAACCGGTCTATGAACTCGTCAAATGTTCTTTTCGTTGGATATCCAGCACAACTTATTCTTATGGCCTCTAATACACCCTGTCACAATTTCCGCAGACCGTTTGTAAATGCAAGAAAACAGGGTATCAGCGTATTTTAGAAACTTGAAATACTATCACGTATCAGAGATGAACAAGTAGCTTACTCCACATCGTAACTGGTTTAAGACATTGTAGTTCTCGAATATTCCAGGCTTCAGAACTGCATTGGGCTTTACACATCTAATATAATGTGGCTCTGTTGTGCTCAGGGTTTCCATCAACGATTGTAGTTGTTGCTGCATATTTATGATTGTTATCAAATGTTTGTGGCTATTAAGATTCTCGGAATTGGACCGTCGCGCAACTTTGCTGAAACACTTACCTTGAAGCGCGCACCGATGGAAGAAAACTTGGACTGCTTTGACGTTTCGTCGGGCAATTGAGGGAAGAGATTTGCAACAAACGAGCACTTCGAATCAGTCAAAAGAGCTTGATGTTCTGCAATAACATAGTCCTTATTCTTGTCCAGGAAATAGTCAGCTTGATAAGTAACCTGTTTTGCCAGAATGGTAAGATAAAAAAGAAAATGCTCTGCTCGAGACTAATGAATCATTTGTCCATAAATGTGCATACATCACCAGCATAATGATTTATTGTAAAATCAGTTCGAGCAAGTTTTGGCTTGCTAAAGCGTTTGTGTCCTTTATAAGTCTGGTACATCTTCTGCGCAAATGTTTCGTGAGTTGCTTTCGGAAACATGCTGCAAATATGAAAAACATCAGCTATATATATATATGTACGTCGTTTTTCAAATATGCTAGGTATGATAGAATCTTTATCAAATAATAATGCAGGTGTCTTATGGTTGGGGCGTTCTGCTTTTCAAGCGTTTCTATAGTATGAGATTGCGAATAAGAGTCGCTTACCAGGCTTCATCAAGAAGAGCAATTATTCCTCCTTGTTTCTGCAGGTAAATATCCAATGTGATTCACAAGTGTATTGTTAAGGCTATGAATTTGCTCTATTACTCACTCTTCTCTAGTGTAAGAGTCTGCTGCACTTACCTTTTCAATAAGATCTAAGACATCTTGGTTGTCTACGAATTCAACATAACTCCAGTTTATTTCCTCTTTTGTGTACTCTTCTTGTTCCATCTTGAATACATGCTGTACGTACACGTGTTTGTCCAATTTAATCAGCTTAAATATTCATGTTCATGAGATTGAAAGTATAGTTGGTTGGAAATTATTAAGATGAATCTCGTCGAACCTGATTGAAATGCTGTTGCAGCTTTTCGTTCGTTAGGTTAATGCATAGCTGTTCAAAACTGCCATATTTAGGTTAAGGGCAAGTTAGTGTTGATGCAAAACCGCCTCGAGTAAGTTAAAAGAGAAAGTACCTGTTAATTTTGAAGCTCTCGAACCCATAAATATCCAGGACCCCGATTATGCTTTTAGCATTGGGATCTTGACCAATAGAATTGTTTATCTTGTCCACAATCCTGTCATCATAATAGACAAGCAATATGTATAGTCCTTTCTTATTTCATTATTACATTCAATCAAATTTTTTGGTTGTCTGAATTTCTTGATCATATCACACGAACATCACTTTGTCATCCATACAGAATTGGATTTCACTTACCAATCAAATAATCTGGAATACATTGTCTTTGCCAAAGCATCTCTGCTTGTGACAGCTGCAGATGGATCGAGTGGTTTTGTGATGCTTCCGTCTGGAGTGACAATAACACGTTTGCAAAGAGAATCTTCCAGCGCCTTCTCGCTACACCTGCACAAATGCAAGTCGAATGAAAATATTAAAATTGAAATATTACAGGTTAAAAAATTCAAAATGGAGTGCCGAAAGTGAAAAATAGTACTGACATAAGCAGCTCTGCTGCTGTCTGAAGGTGATGGCGAGCCTTGTCATTTTTTAGCTTGGAAGAATCCGTTTCACTCCCCTTGACGAACTCAACATTCCCTAAATGGAGTATCGCAGCCACAACACGGAATATAGCGTCCTACTCATCAAAGTTCAAAAACAAAAACATTCACGCGCTGTGGGATGTCTGTTGATGGAGGGGGGCGTGCGCTCCCTCTTGCAATAAATTTTGAGCCCTTTTTTTTCTTTTTTTTTTTTTTTTTTTTTTTTTTTTTCT